AGTGGTAATAAAACTAACACAAGTATGATTATGATATGCAGGACATGCTTTTCGTGGAATAAATAAATAACTTAGAGAGAAATTTAACAAAGGGTATGCTTAAGCCCTCTAAAGCTCGCCACTCAATGTTACACCGAATAAGAAACGATATGAGCTTTTCTGCTATTTGTAAATTTTGGAATTAATTTTCAGATGTGGACTTTTCATCTTGGGAGTTCAAAGAAAGCCTAGAATTGAAATCTCTGTGCAAGGCTGATATATGAAATCTTTTTCCAGATAAAACACATGTGTTTGATTTAATAATTACTCTCTCTTGTAGTAGGTACTGATATTGTTCTAGATTTTACTAAATGTAGAAGTCTTTATTTCGAGTGGCTAATAATTTATGATGTTCACTTCACATCTCACTTATGGGCTGGGATTATATTAACCAGCTGTTATTAATCATGTGAAATAGATTAGACATCAATGAAGATTTGGACAAATGAGTCCAGACGTCTCTATATTGAATAATGCATTACTAGCGTTATTCAGTATAAAGAGAATCAAGCATGTGGTGTTTATAGTAACTATATTTCAAGGAGATTGTTATGACAAATTTATGTATCAGTATTTGCAAAAGCTGATACATAAATTTGTCATTGGGATGATGAAAGCCAGTTGGTCAGCTCAGCGAATAGCTCGTCAAGTAGGCCTTTCTGATTTTACTGTGAGGAGGTGTTATAACCAGTGGACAGAAGAGACATCATTTACATGGCAACCAGGCTCAGGACATCCTCGACAGACCAGTCGTTGAGAAGACCGTCGCATCGTACAACACGCACGCTTAGAGCCAACTGCCTCATTGGCTGCCATCCAGACACAGGCAGTAGCTTCATTATGGTTCCCTGTGTCTTCCTGAACTATTTCAAGGTGTCTTGTTGAAGGGCATCTGGTATTGTGGTATTACGTGTGCTGCCAATGACACCCACCGACCGATGCCTCTGTTTGGAATGGTGTCGCACACGACAGGATTGGACTTAAATAGAATGGAACCAGGTCATCTTCAGTGACGAATCTAGGTTCAATTTGACCAGTGATGACAATCATGTTCGTGTGTGGAGGCCCCGTGGTGAACGCCTCAATCCTGCCTTCGCTTTACAGTGACACACCATTCCCACAGTTGGTGTGATGATATAGGGTGCCATGCTTATGATACATGGTCACCCCTAATATTGATCTACGTCACAATGACAGGCCAGCATGATATCCTTCAGCCACAGGTGTGGCCACTCATGGCAGGGCTCTCAGAAGCCTGTTTTTAAAAAGACAATGCTCGGCCATACACAACACGGATCTCACAAGATTGCCTCCGCCACATTAACACCCTTACCTGGCCTGCTCGATTCTCAGATTTGTCACCAATCGAGCATATCTGGGATAATTTGAGATGGCAAGTTGGACAGCCGACGAGATTGCCCGAACTAGAGGTGCATTTACAGCAACTGTGAAACGAGATATCTCAGGACACCATACGGAACTTGTATGCCTCAATGCCTGCTCATATCGCATCGTGCATTTGCGCTAGAGGTGGTCCAACAGAGTACTAAAACTTCTGTTCATGTGTACTTTTTCTGCAATAAATGATCCTTTTTTCTTTGATTTTCTAATCACTTACTTATATCAAAGTAGTTCTTACATATGTAAAATTTCATTTCATTCTGACAACTCTTTCTTGGTGTGCAAATTATTATGGTAATGAGTATATTTTTGTCTTTATGAGCACATCTTTCTTTCCAATGTCTATTCTTTTTTTTTTTTTTTTTATCTCCACGAGTAGTTTATTCTTCCTGTTGCCTTAATATGGCATTCTAATCTTACTTAGATCTCTGTTTTACTTCTGAACACACTAGATAGGATAGGATTAGTTTTTGCCCAAGACCCTCAGTTTTGAATGACCAGTTATCAGAAACTACATGTTCATATCCTTGGGGAAAAAAAATGATTTTGAGTTTTGAATAATGAACCTAAAACTGAAAGACATCAATTTCAGAAATTCCAGAAACTGGTCTTTCTTGTTGGGGGAAAATTATAGGATTTTTATTTTTTTGAAGGTAAAGAATAATATATGAGGGATAGGAATACACAGTTAAAGATGAAAACCATGACTAATATTATTTTTCTATTACTATTATTGTTCTAAAAATGAACTTAAATATTACAATTTTGATATATTTTTTGTTTAATTTAATATATTATATTATAAGGAATGAATAGCTCATTCCTTGCCTATCGTAAGTGGTCAAAGCATACTAAATTGTTATAATTCTTATTATTATTTGGAAATAATTAAGTGTAATACAAAAGAAGTTAGATAATTCTTTACATATGAGTGTATACATTATTTTATTATATAAAACCCTTTTTATATGTATGTAATATGATACTTGGAGTAAGTTGCAACAGAATGATGATGGTTCTCTGCCTTATAACTAGGAGAGACTTTTCTGCATAATTAGAAAGAGGACACTCTAAGGAGAGACTTGCAGACAGACGTGGCCGAACTGAATATTAATTTTATTGAATATTAATTTTATTGACACGAACTAATTATCGAAAATATATTTTTTATTACACATGATCATGGCTGCAATATATCAATTTATACAGAGACACATGTAGAGTTTTATACAGTGTATCATAATTTAAATAATGACGGAGTTAGCAGCACAATAAAGCAAAGGGAACAAAGTAGTATTTTGACTGCAAGAAATCTGAAGAGAAAGAATAGAGAGGGGGGATTAAGGACTATTGCTAATTTAATTCCTAATTTTGATTTACGTACTTTTTATCTTACACACATATATATGTATATAATATATATATGTAATAAAAAGGAGACAAAGATGTAGCAGTGTTGATGGCATAGCACGTAGAATTCATAGAACATAGTAGATCCATATTGAAGAGGAAGAATTTTGATTGCATAGAATGCTAAAATGTTGGATTCATAATAATTAAGAAACCGGGCAGTTGAGATGGATTAAATTCCATTTTATTTAAATTGACATTTGTGGCCAGAATTCACTTGGCACTCTAATCGTGCCTATTTCCAGATCATTACATTTTTTATTCTGAAATGAGTGAAGTGAAGGTTTCAATTCTCAAAATTTAGAGTTCAGGTTACGAATTACCTACGTCATCTGAGCACTGCACAGGCCATGCAAGATGGATTGATCTAGAAATGATGTAATTCAGAGAAAATTTTGTGATTTTTAGAATAGAGAGGGGAAATTAAGGGGTTACCCTTTAGTTAAAATTATAATATTGATTTATATATTTTTTATCTTACACACACACATTATACTAGACTGTTTTTAGTTTATAATTAATTAACTTTTCAGCAACATTTTTCACGGAAATGGTTTTGGGATATTCTTATTGTGAAAATTTCTATAATACTGTATATATTACATATTTGTTTTGAATAACCAGCCTAAAAATTGTGTGTATATGATAAAAGTGTGATATAAAATATCACACAGTTTGTCTTAACTTTATGCACATGTCGAGAATATCTCTTTACCTGTCTTTTTTTTTTTTTTTTCTGGTATTTTAGATAGCAGGTAATTATAATAAACACAATTTATTCTGATTATTCCATTTCCATAATTTATTTTATATGTAGTTGTATTAAGCAAAACCATATGATATTTATAAAAGAGGTTACAAAATATTTCATTTTCTTTTGAGCAGGTGAATACTATTTAGTGCGAGTGGAAATATGCAGTAACTGTGATTAAATATTGATGCAAAATATATCAGAGGCGAAATTTTATTATTGTAAAAATTGTTATTAATCAGGAGTAATTTTAATTTTGTTTTATGTAGCTACTTTACTAAATATTGTCCATCAGTCAAAAATCTTGGATGAAATATGAATTTGAAATAATCTGAAAGGAATAAAATTAGTGATCTATTAAAAAGTGTAAAATTGTCAAAATAAATAGAAACTCAATTTTAATAATACCGATTCACCGAACAAAAATTATTTTAAAACCTGATACGAAATGACCGAACCCTTTATTATTGGAAAAAAAAAAAAAAAAAGGACAATGAATTAAAAAAAAAATATTATTGAGTCAAAATGTAAAAAATAATATGTGTTCAAGATATCTAATATTATTAATTTATATATATTCTTGTTGTACCCCAATATAAAGCTAAGATTTTTGTGAATTTTAGGCTTTTTTTAATGTTTTATTGATGTTTTATGGGATTTATTGTATGACAAAAAAATGTCCGAAGTTACTTTTATTGATACGAGTATTTTATCCATTTAGTCCTCTACTAAACTTGAAAGAATTTTTTTTTTTTTTTTTTAACTACTTAAATTTACTACCATAGCGCGACTTTACTACTATGCACACGTCGAGAATATCTCTTTGAATGAATAATGTCTTCCGCTCTTTCCGCTGTTTCGGAGGCGCAAAAACTGGACAAACGGGTGAAAGGCGAAGGACGGTACAAACCGTGCCATGTGACGTTCAATGTTGAGGTATTGGATCAATGATTTTAGAAAAACTGGGAATAATTTGTCATATCTCGTTGCATTAAAATTTTAATCAGCATGTCTTTTAGCAACAGAAGAAAAGTACATTTATTTTCTTGTGATAGTTTACAAATAAAATTGGTTTCTATTTTCGCCCAACTGCTTTTGTTTGCATCTGTTTTGTGTATACCTGTCAATTTGTTATTACCTAAACAAAATACAAGCAAGATCAGTTCTCAACTATCGAAATTAACGTATGATATTATCAAGCCACCCGATCATTTAGAAGGAGTGAAAATGGAGAGAGATGGACATTTAAACAAGGAATTCAGGAAGGAAGTTTTGTTAGGAAACGAAAGTCAAAGCGGAACACATGATGAACAGCTTCTCATATCAATACATAAAAAGTAAAACTTATTTTTCTATTTATATAGTGTCTGGGAAGAGATATGTGAAGTATAAAATAATGAATTTTCTTTAGTTTAAAACTTTTTTTTTTTTTTTTTTGCATAAAGAGCAAGAGAACATAGAAAGGTATCTTTTTCTTGTAATAAGATTTATTTTATTTATTAACATTACTTTTTTCCTTTAATATATCTATTAACATTGCGTTTATATTTTAAAAGCATTTAATTGAATGTTAAACTGAAACTCTGGTAGTTAATCATATTTTTATGAAATCTTTTACTGTTATTTTAGAATTTTCCATAATAAATTTTTAACACTGCTTTGTTTAATGATCCTATTTATGTACTGTAAATGTATTAGAATTTTTCTAACTTTTTTTTAAGTAAGGTGTTGCCATGATAACGCATTATCTAGAATTCTATACAATCATAGTAAACTAAATCATAGTTGTAGTTAGGATTTTCAGCGCCTGGGGACAAGTGAAGATTTCATGACCTCGTCCTGATTACCAAGAGTGGAAAACATTTAATTCTAATATTTTGAACATTAGTTTGGCTTCCTCTGAATGGTGTGATTGGGAACAGATGTCCCTTCTCCCTAGCTATGGCACTTAATTTAATTTGATGATAATAGCACATATATATATGGATCTAACAGTATATCATTTCTGTGTCATTTCCTGTATTGTTAATTTAGTAGCAGAACTTAGTTGCACATAAATGTGCACATATGTTTTTATTATTCTCATGTTATGTTGAAAGGGAAGTCCATATATATATATATTTAATTTAAATTTCTCAGTTTTAATTTGCAATTTGAAAAATTGAATTAATCTAACAGCTCAAATCAGTTTACTTACAAAAAAGCTTAAAAAAATAAAAGTAAGACATTTTCTAGTTAATGCAAAACATATTTTCATACTGCTAAATTCGGTATTTTTAAAAATTATACATATTTTGAAATTTGAAGCTGCATATATGCATCAAACAGAATTCTTTATTTTTGACAGATTATAATTCTGTAATAAATCTGAAAAGAAATGGCAGGTTTAAAGAATTCCTTAAATTCTACTTGTCCTAGCAGCACTGTATTTTACTTATTTGATAAACCAAAAATAATAGATACTTTCTTGTTAAAGTCACCATCACTTGTAGTCGCCAAAATTGGCAAACTTAATCACCTAATCTGTAACATGTAAATTTCCACAGAAAAGCCAGTTCATTATTAGATTAAAAAAAATTTTGAAATTTGCCAGGTTGTAAAATACAGTGTATTTAAAATTTAAATGTATGTAATTTAGATATGAAATTTGTATTTGAATCCACAAAGGAATTTGCATTGTGGATATAGAACCTGTTTGATTTTTTTTTAGGTCAAAATATTCTACATTTTAAGTTTTGAGCACAACTCTATTTTTCTTTTTTATATTTGAGCTTATGCATATGTAATAATTTAGAAGTTATTGACACAGAGATGCATTAAGAAGTAGCTGCAGAAAAGATGTTAGTAGTTGTACCAATATAACCTTTTTTTAAATAATTAGTAACATGAATTATACATCATAATTGGACACAATCTATTTGCCTATTTTTGTTCATATTTTTATCTAATTTGCATCTTCATAACTATTAATTTCAATGAAGTAAAAAACATGGTGTAACAGGGAAGAGCAAGCTGCTTGGTAGGATAGGATAGAAGAGAGAGAGAGAACACAACACGTTCAAGTGGAATTCTTAATTCAGAATGATGTGGTTTTAGTTTATTTTGATTTTGATTGTCTAATAGTAACCTTCTAAAATTATCATTAGCTGAAGCCTCATGTAATTAGCTAATGTAATTATGTATGTCTCATGTAATTATCTAGTCTTAAGTAGTCATTAGCTTATGCAAGAAACATATGACAGATAAATTTTCAAAAAGCAATTTAGAGAAATTTGCTATAGCCCCATTCACAAGAGCAGATTTGAAGGATGGTGAAAACCTGTTCTTCCAATGTGTCCCATTCACATAACAAACAAGTATTAACTGCCTCTCGGAATTAGAGATAGAATTTAGTAGAGTGCTCCTACCTCTCTGGAGCAGGGCAAATGGGGAGATTTTACAAACAATTTCCGTGATTGCACAGTTCTCTTAATTTTAGTAAACAACATGGCTGGTGTGCAACTGACTACTTGCTGTACTGTACTGTCAGTTGATAGATATATATGTATGCTATAGCATCCAAAAAACATTAGATGGAACCATACGAGGTATGGAAATTTATAAATGAGTACAGACAAGTTTATCTGATGCTGGGGTATTCTAGAAATACCGTTCAGATTAAAACTGAAGTTAAGACACTCAGATGTGCATATCAGCTTCAATGCAACAAGGAGAGTGGGTGCCTTTTAAATGATTTTTTTTTTTTATTTAAGAACTTCAATCTATTTTTTATGAATATTATTAAATGGTTTTGTAAGGCAAAATGATTTTAAGCTGAAAAAAAATTTTTGCCAGTAATTTTTTTTTAATTAAAATTTTTTTGGAGAAAAATTTAACAATTAAAATATCCTTCTTCTCGTATAATTCTCGGTGTTTCCCCCTAATTTATTTATTGTATTTATTAGTGTTCATAATAACTTTAATGATCGATTTTGCTATTAATGAATAAGTTTCTGAGGAAAAATAAACACATTTTTAGGTAAAACTTTGAAACAAATATGATCTCGATCACATTTTCACTTCAAATAATTCAATTTTTCTTTTCAGTATTTCGAAAAAATCCAGCCTTTTTTCTATAAAGTGTATAATTTTAAGTAAGTAGTAAAAGTATTAAATAATTTAGTTCATGTCTATATAAATTTTAGGACTTTATGTAAAGGGATTTATCAAAAAAATGGCTAAAGTGCAGAATCGCCCACTTATTTGTTTGGCGCTTTTTACAAGAGTAAGAAGAATTGGATTTTTCTCAATTTTATCTGACTTTTTAAGTGAAAAATAGGTCGATGTGTACATGGATAAAGTCAAGAATGTGCACAATGCCATTTTTGTGCAATTCTGGGATGTTTTTTAAAGTGAAAATAGGTCGACGTGTACATGGATACTGAGTATGTGTAATTCTTAAAAACGCTCCAAGCAGTGGGCGATTCTGCACTTTCCCCCAAAAAATGAAAAATGAGAAAACACAGCTTAAAGAATGTAAACTATCTAAATAGTCATTAAATCATTTCAAATTTCTTAAAAATTTTATTATTGAATTTCATTACATATGTATATATAAAATAAAATCTAGTGCTATTCAATTGGTTACATAAACATTAATCACAAGCTTTTATTTGAAACCTTTTCTGGCCAGAAATATTGCAAAAAAAATAAGGAAATGCAAGTAGAATTTTTTTTTACCTGTTTTTGTTTTGTGAAATACTTTCAAACAATTTTAATACATGAATTAATTATATCTTTTCTAAAACATTTATAATCAATATTAAAATGTTTATAATTAATATTAATAATAGTAACTTGTCGTTTTATTCATTTTTTCAAAAAGCAAAGTTTGAAATTGGAACAGACATGAAACATTTTATTTAAAAACATTCATGTGTGATTTCTTTTCTTCTTTTAACCATTTGGTCTCGTATATAAATTGCATTTTAAATTATTTTAGATGTATTTTAATTAAAGTTTGTTCCACACAGTTTTCAATAATGCTACAGTCAGCAACTTGATAACTTTCATCATCAAGTTGTGCTTGTCTTATCACAAATAATTTCAATTTTTGAAGAAGCATAGCAAAATTGATAATACGCATAGAAATATTTGCTGAGCTGAATATATATATATAGATCTGCCAGTTTAAAAGTGAAAAAAAAAAAAATTTCCCCAACCTGACTAATATTTAAATAAATCAGTTTGTACACATAAACAGAGTTTACTGATAGTTGCAGTTGCATTCAATTATATTCCACTTCTTTTACACAGATTTTTTAATAAGTTACTGAAGCAATTAAGAAGTGAAAAAAATAAACACTGGGGAGTGGCATTTAAAAGGCTGTCAAAATTTTTAAAAGCCTTTTTATGCCATTTATTATCATAAGATCATTTCAAAATTTCTCTTCAGCGTAGTACGGATATTAAGTATTTTTTGGAGGAAAAGTTAAAAATTGGGAATTTCATGAATTTTGCGGTAACAAGTCCTCAAGAATATCTGGGGCCAGTGGTAAAAAATGGCTGAAGTGCAGAATCGCCCACTTATTTGTTTGGTGCTTTTTACAAGAATAAGAAGAATTGGAATTTTCTCAATTTTATCTGACTTTTTAAGTGAAAATAGGTCAATGTGTACATGGATAAAGTCAAGAATGTGCGCAATGCCATTTTTGTGCAATTCTGAGATGTTTTTTTAAGTGAAAATAGGTCGACGTGTACATGGATACTTTAGTTTTTAATGACCAAATGGACAGAATTTTAGGATCCAAAAATGGCATGACAAAAACTCTGATAGTGTTTTATAGCAATGGCAAACAATGTCAGAAAACAAAAGACAAACATTAGAGTAAACATAAACAAATGTTAGAAATCCGCCAGTTAGATTCATGTTTGTGACATCATTGCTTGAGGTGACTTAGGCTGTGTTCAGACGGGGGCATAAAGGGCATAAGTGGTTAAAGCCGAACTGCGTTGGCAAGGCAACCAGTCTGTGCTATGTCACATAATCTGGTTTAAGGCTCGTGGCACAAGGTCCCAAGTTTTCAACTTTACGTCGAGTTTGGGATAAGCGTCGATCAATCAGAGTGAAGCTAAAACGAAACGGCTGTGTTTGTGACAGTGAAATTGTCTAAAGAAGACAATTTGAAATTGTCTAAAGAAGACAATTTCACTGTCACATCGAAGGCGACTTTTTTTTTTAATATGGAGCACATCATATCCGAATGATTTTTAATCGTATCCAAACGAAATAATAAGTTGATCTTGCAAGAAATCTATGATGATGATATACATTTTTTAATGAGTTTGCACAATAAAT